AGGTAGCTGTGACGTCAGTCAAAATGGCCCGCCAGCATCCCTATCGATCCACCAGCTGCCCGTCGCTCCTCGCCATCCCCTCTCATCCGCTCCATCGGCAGCTGATACCATTAATATTTCAAACATACAAAGAAAAATATTCTAATTATTTCAAGCTGAATTATATACGTCGTACTATATATATATATATATCTTACTTGCGTCACCAACAAACTGGAATGATCCGCAGCATTTGTAAAGTCTCATTTCCCTGAGGACTATTATTGAAGCCATCTTAGGATTGGTTATTGTCTCGGAATAACATTTAGCAGATATGACGCTAAGAGACTCAAAGCGCCGTTCGCCATTCCGTTAGGAGTCGCTATTAATAGACTCGTAGGCCGACTTGTTCCTACCAGTTGAGTGCTGCGGCGCTCCATCGAACCACTTAGGCCTCTTCACAGAGCCATCTAATTGAGCTAATTTACTTGGTGATGAGCACTACCAACACAAATAGTTCCCCATTCCTTAGTGAAAGTTTCAATTTATGCCGATCTGTACACACTGTTGTTTTCGAATACTTGTATGGAGTTAATACCTATGCATTGCTCAACTGTCTACATTAGAGGATCAGTTGAAAGCAGATATTCATGATTTCATTAAATTGAAGTCATTTTGTGTCTTCCAAGTTAGAAGGCATGATTTATTTTTTATTTTTTCGCTGATTTAGCCCGATCCAGGTATCTGTTCTTTCATGATAAACTCCTAACTCTTCCGATCCGACTTGTTTCCAGCCTTGCATCTTCCTCGATTCCTGATAATCCTGCTAGACACTATTTTGGGAGAGCTTCAGTCCGAAAGATTTTTTTTTTTCATTTATATAAAACGATAATTAATTTGAAAAAAGAAATTAACTACCTATATGAAATAGTCTTTACGTGATTCTTGAAGTCCTATTAAATGTAATTACACGAACAATAACACTTTAAGAGATAGTTTTTAATATTTTTTTTTCTATAAAACATGTTTATATTATACCATTTTGGGAGAGCTTCGTCCCGAAAGTCTCCCCCCGTAAATCCGCCTATGCTGCTAGATATCTGAAAAGATGGTGGTCTCGAGATCTTCTTACTTAGAACTATTTAGGGAGTGCTCCCATTGTTTACTTATCATTTATTGGTCGTATTTTATTTAATTCAGTTTTAATAAATAATTACTTTTCTTCTATTCATTTTTGTTCTTCGTCCCTTATTTTCTCGGGCTATATCTCTTTTAATAGATCAAAACAAATATTACTACTATGTACATCTATTTTAATTTTGTGTTAGGTGAATTATTTAATTATGATAATTTTTTCTTGCCCACCCTCCGAGATATTTATTTATATTATAAACACAATGAAATATAATCAATAATAATAATTGGTTAATTTTTATTTGAATAATAAGTATGTATACCCCGAATTCAAAGCTCGATTAATGAATCAGCGTGAGATCCAGTGTTACAAAATCTCATAATTTTATTATTTTCTTATAAACACAAAACTGAAACACCATGGACCATTCTCTTAATAAGTGTGAGAAACAAACTTATTATACTTTCATTATAAACCAAAGATAAAGACAAAATTATTACTTAGATTAAAAAATAATTACATAACTTAAACATAATTAAATAAAATAATTATTAAACTAATATTTCTCAAGTAAAAACACTCTATTTTTAGTACGCTTATCTTATTAATGAGGCGAACTTCCTTGTCATTTCTCTTTCATTTTCGTTTGTTAATTTATTTTTACTTTGATTGACCTATTTGTGATATTTTTAATAAAGCAAAGTATTGCAAGCGTGAAAAATTTCGAATCTTTTTTTTTATATCGGTTTTCGATTATCTGATTTTAACATTTATATGTGGATATATTGATATTAAAACCAGCAGACGAAAATATGGAGATATTTGTATAAAAATATTCAGATATTTAGATATTTTTCCAAAATTGCTATCGACCACTAGAAGTCCATTTCGTGCCTGATGTATCATTTTAAATGTAGAATGCAAATAATTGGAAAAATCCGTCAACGTTTAGCCAATTCATGCATCATCAGGACAGAAAAAAATATCACATATATGCAGAAATAAAAGAAACAAAATTAATACAGACTGTACATCACACTAAAGGAAACGGGAGGTTGCACAGCAGAGGAACATTATATTTAACAGCTTATCATAAGGAAAGAATAAGAAAGAGACAATTATATAAAAATATGCTAAATAAATTAAAAACAAATAAATAAACTAAATACAAAAATTAATATTAAAAAAATACAAAAGAAAGCGTTCTAAGGTATTTATAACATCCATCCCCACAAAACAATGGATACATGTCTATTCCACACAAAAAGAGCAAATATGTCTTTATTTTAAAAAATTGTAAATTTTAATTTCTATTCTGACCACTTTTATACTATATTCTGATCACTCTTTCTGTGCTATTTTCATTTATTTATATTAATGTATAAAGTATTATAGTAAATATATAACAATATATCTTATTATGTTATTATAAGCCGTTTATTAAAACAGTTGTAACAATTTTTAATATGATTTCATTGTCTTCATTCGTTTTGTTTTTAAGAGCAAAGAAACATTAAGTTTATCATTGAAAATACATATTATTTTTTTACACAACTTGAGGCGAATCTCAAATTTTTCCCAATAAATCTCAACTTAACAAGTTAATTAATATGGACCTAAGCTTATTAGTAGAAATAAGTTTTTCTAAAAGTGGAGTAAATGTAGTACAGTTGATGGGTGATAAAAACAAATCAGAAATAATTCATGACTTTTTTTTTAAACGGAACTTAGCCTGTGTTAAATCCTCTTTAAATAGTTTTAACAATGACAAACTCTACTTTCGTTTAAAGTAAATTTTGTCTAGTTTACTATGGAGCAATGTTTAATTATTTTAATCAAATATTTTTTAAATTATCTGTTCCTGTTCAACAAAAACCGTGACTAGCTTAAAAATATACAAATCTTAAATTTCTTACTTTACTGTTATAAAATGAGCAGTTTTTTATATGAAATTTTCATAGATGTTGATATCTACTATCAACCTTTTAAATATTTTACTCCACTTACGAAACACCTTTCTCATTTTTCATATTTTTACGATTTATCATAAAATTGGGAATATGTCACCCTTGAAAATAACTTGATTTTAAGAATATGAATCCAACCATTTTTTTTATATAAAAATGATTTTCAAGTTTCCACTATTATTTTTAAAATAATACAAGTGAAATTATCTCTGTCAGGACCACAAGGAAGTATGAAATGCCTTGACTTTCCTACGCCTTGATTTTCGCGAATAAATGAGGTTAGCAAGGTTGGGGAGGCCTCTTAAATATATGCTATTAATTTTATAGGCCTCATGGCCTCTTATGCTGTACAGATCCTGGTTCAAAAATTTTCCTCTACATATTATTTAAAATTATTCGTCGCAAAATTAACTATATTTTAGTTTTAAATGTTTCATTGAACTATTCCGAATGTTCAGAGGTTATGCGAGTACAGTTTATTAATAGTATTTTTGTTTAGAGGAATCATTATTAATATTTCAAAAATATAGAACAGTAATTTTAATTGCATCCAATCAGCAATGATTCATAAATATTATCATTTATTTGCCTTACATTTGCAAAGCGCATCCTTGCTCATAGCTGACGACTTCATTAAACTGCTCATCTCTTATTATTCCAGTGGTGTCTCATTTCAATTTGACATTAACTTGTCAATTTTTTTGGGGGCTTAGCCCACGTCATTAATTTTAATGACGTGGGCGAAGCCCCTATAAAAGGATGAACATATTAGGAGGACTCATCAAGTTTTGAAAATGACCCTTAGAATGGTCGAAACGTTAAATTGATGCGTAATAATAAAATGTTGGTGAAAAATGGCCTAATTTATTGAACCAAATAATAAAACTGTTCTTGATAATGTTTTTAATTCCAAACTTAAGCTATATCTAGTTTTCTTTATTTCAAATCGCATACATGTGTACGTTTTGGTAAATGAATACCCCTCTTTCCCAATCTCTGAATAAATTTACACTTTTATTGGCTTGAAATAATCTTTGTATTATACCTACAATGGATCTTCCAGTTATTACTTTAATGTATGTTTTTTAACTTAAGTCTCATTCATAATCTCAATTTTCCAACAAGTTTCCTTGTTTTGTCAATTTTAATTGTCAGAGATAATTGTATGTTTTAAAACAAAACACGATTAATAAAAACAAAACTACTTATATTATAATTAAAAATGTTACTAGACATAAAAACAAAACATAGCATAACAATTTACTTTTAATAAATATAAAACTTATTTTTAAAGCTTTCATTATCTATATTCAACTGAGAACTTATTGTAACCATACAGAATAATTTTTTTTAGCAGTTTTAGATTCTATATTTACAAATCTATAAGATGGGGTAGGGGAAGGTAAAATAATTATTTGTAGTTCATAAATTTTTTTGACCTGCTTTCTCCATTTTACAGAACCATCTTTGTGTTATGTCTGTACAATTTAAGGGACAGTTCTCACCAATGGAAGGAATATAATTTTATTTTATTTCAGATTGTTTATAATGTTAGTGTAGTGGCTATTTAAATGTCTATTATCACTTCTAAAATTAACTGTTTTTTCCTCTTGTTCACGAATATATTTGACTCTAATTTATTTATTCTGGTAAACTTTTAATCTTTGATCTTGAAAAATGATATTATTATGTAGATTATAACTAAGCTACTCTTATATTATAAGGTGTATTTTATACAACGTATTTCTTTATTCAAGTAGTCAGTAATTGACCGTTGGAGGCTTATTTGATTAGGTCTAGTCCGAAAAAATCCTTAGAAACACATTTGATTAACGAGCGGTGTTAAGCAGCTGTTATTATCGATTATAATGTATAATATTATTTATAATAAAATAAACTAAAATTAATTGATTTTATTCTAGTATAATGTAATTTTATTTTAAACATCCGAATCAAAGTTATAAACTATTTCAAAAGAAGTTTGTTTTCGACGCGTCGTATTCACTCTTAGTTCCTTCGGAGGCCTCCGTTAGCTCTGCCGCTGGAAGCTCAGCGCGAGGTAGTTGACACCGCTGGAGAGCGAACATATCCGAAGTTCCCCGACCCTCCAGCTCCAGGCTGGAAGTACCCAGTTCCACCATGGCATGGCATTCAATACGTACCCTCTGTCGCGGGCGGAGACCAGGGTCAGGTGCCTGGTGAGTCCAACACACAGATCGTGTTTATTATATCTTTTAATATAGTAAGCCACGTATTGGTAATATTTATTGTCAACGGAACCTAATCACATGGATATATTAGGTCCTGGAACACTTAGTTGGCAATTATATTGGTACTGCTGATGTTTACATCGAAACTGTTTAGAAGAATGTTTTATCTTGTTTTGAGACTATATAAGTGTATCGTTGTGAGAGTTGAGGTTAGGTTTAGATGTGAAAGAAAACAAATCTTTCTGTATAATAGCTAGACTGGTATATGTTATTCTTCAATTAAAGAAAACTATTCATCAAACCAGTCTCAAGTTTATTATATCATTTCAACAAGCTATCAGTGTCATATTCATCTAAAAATATCAAAATACATATACATCCAATTATACATAAATAAATATACAATTCATAATGGTCTACAAGATTACACACAATCTACATACCCGTCCTAAATAACAATGAGAGAATAAATGATTGGATAGAGAAAAAATCTGAAAGATTGTTCAGAATCCTGAAAGCTTCTGTAAATTATATAATCAACTATAGACTGATTTGAAGTATAATTTTCTATAATTAAACAATAATTTATTTTGATTAATATTATATCAATATTAAACAATATTGATTTAAAACATACTCATGAACCTACAGAATTATAATAAAATCACCATCTACTTCAGTATAATAATTGTTCAAACAATGAAAAATAGTCACCTTGTTTAAGAGTACCAATATCTACATTCTATCTAAAAAGGCCCAAATTTTCTGCATGCAAGTTATTCGTTAGTGTTGCATGTCTGGTTTTTTTTTTATTCTGTTTTTTTTTTTATATTTATAAAGCTGTATGGCTTAATATTACTATGGATACATAACATACGAACATTGAGTTTATTTGATTTTTAATTATTTTTCTACCTTACAGTTAATAAAACCCACAGCTAAAATCATTAAATTTTTGTTTGTGTCAATTCAAGCACTCGTCATGCTTATCAATTAATGCATAAACAAACCTTCGATAATGATATGTAGATAAACATAATAAAGAAATCAGTCTTTTACACTTGTAGATTTATTGATATGTTCTAACCAGATAAATGGTGCTGTTGCTTGTGACATAAACAATAAACAATTATTTAACAGTTACTGTTAATTGGAAGAATGAAATATTTGTTACTAATAGAAGTTGTAGACAAGACATTATTCTTCAAAGTAAAAAAAAAATTAGAATAAATTGCTGTATTTGAATTTGTTTGAAGGAGGAAAAAATGTGTTCTCATGACCTCGTTTATTGAATGTTTTTATTCATTTGTATTGTAAACATTTATACAACTTTTTTTCCTTTACATTTAAGTAAAATAGTTTAGTAAAAAATAAAATTTCTTTACCTTTGGATAGAGCAATATTGATCCTGAGTATAATTTTATCAAAAATTTATTTTTTTCCCATCACAATGATTCATTGACGTTGAATGTTGAGTTTGCCGTAGGTTGAAAATTTATCTGACCAAAAGAAAATTATAATTTTTTAAATCATGAATTAAAGTTCATTCTGAAATTGTTGACTAATTTTCTATCCAAAAATATAACAACAAAATTAAACGTCATTGAATTTTATTTTTTGATTTTGCACTGAAATTGCAATTAAATTAGAAATTAATTAGATAAAACAATATTTAATCGAATAAAATATGAGTAGCCGAAAGCCTTGAAGCACAAAACTTTCTGAAACCTCGGATTCATGTAGGGTATTTATTTTTAGCTTTAAAATATGAAAATCTATAAAATGAAATTTGAAACATTATCATTCTCTGTAAAAAAAATTTACATGTTACTTCATTTTAATGTTAAGGTTAGACAATTTATTTTTAATTGTCATTTAATTATTCACAATCGTCATTTCTTTGTTGATTGTAGTTATTCTGAGGGGACTAAATGTTCCAGAATAAAATTTACTTTCTTTCACCCAATAACTTAATAGTTCGTTCAATAGTCCAATTCATTAGTGCATCGAGCCAATCAGTTTTTAGTTGTTTACAACAAATACAACTAAATCTTATCAACGACCAAATATTAAGTCGTTTGAAGTGACTCAAAAATTTTAATTTTTTAATTAGTCATTATAAGTCACGATAAATGATGACTTAAAAATTAGTCATGATTAATTTGTGTGACTCCAACTTTAGTCGTATATCGTCAATTGAATAATTTGAGCCCAAAACTGATTGAATGTAATATTTAAGGCAATGTTCGCTGATAATTATTTCACTAAAAAAGTTCGGGCTTTATTTAGATAGGAACCGTGGTTTTACAGACGATTATTAAGTTTATCCAACCGGCATAAAATGATTAACTTATATCGGATAGGAAAGGAAACGCGATTGGAGCTCCCCTCCTCCCCCGTATTAAATATCCCAAAAATACACTAAGGTCCAAAAATACAAGCTTTAAAAATAGCCTTTGCAGTACTGTTGTTTTTTTTTCGAATTTTATGAAGATCTTATATAATTTTTCTAATTTAAAATTAGATCAATTTATTTGAAATAAGTTACAAAATTATAAGTTTCTTTTCTCTCGGTCCTTATAATGGATAATCACCTTTTCTTGTTATCTAATTCGATTTGTACTGAATCATTCAAAAGACTGTAAAATTACAGTTGTATAACAAAGATGAGAAGTCGAATATCTTCCCAATTAGTATAAAAACGCTATTAAAGTGTTTACAAATTAATGTTATCTTAATTAACGCGTACAAAATTTGCATTAAATTCTTATTATATTACATAACGGATATGAATGAATATATGCAATCACCCTATTTATAGATGGTTATCTCAAATTTGTCGATATGGACCTTGAGGACACGCGTTTCTCGAGAATCCTGAGAATTTATTTGTTTAGCATGGAAACAGGGTCCAATCTGCATCTTCATCAACGGATTAATTTAAAAAATCAAAATAGTGGTTGTGATAATCTTTGCTTTTCTTTACATAAACCAACAATATAACTGAAATCTTACTGAAAAGGCCTTTCATATAAATTTCAAGCAACAAAAATGCATCGGTTTATGTGACAGCGAAGTAAATATTGAAGAAATCATGTATATTTTGTTATTGATAGCATCACTATTTTTCAAGGTTACGTTCTTAAAATGATTTTTTATGAAAATAATTATATTTTTTACTTCATCTATTTATAAATATCATTAAAACCACGCTTAGAGCTCTATTGGCTCATTATCAAGTTATGTAAAAATCTCCAGATTTCCTTTTCTTATTTGATTATTTCTTTCTAATAAGAGCCTTTCAGTTGACAGAATGACTAACTCTAATTTCAACATTTTTGATCATTATGATATTTCTAGTGGGAAAATGTATACCTTTGTTCACAGTTCTATATTTCAACACTGCAATCTCCTACTCAGGAATCAACTTACTTACTGTCTCCGTAGATATTATAAATTTTCCAATTAGGAATATCACTAAAATGACATTGCTCGAAAAGTTTGAAATTAGGGTTAGTCATTCTGTAAACTTTTCTTATAGTTGAACAATAAATTGCAATTCATTTCATGATACATTTTTTCTGCATTTAATAAAATTCTTGTAAATTAATTAACATGCAAGACAATCTTCCCTCTTTGATTGCTTCAAGTGGACTTGTGGAGGAACTATTTTTCTATAGGGAGGAAAAAAACTGTTACACTACAAAATGTGTAGAATCTCATTCATTGCTAGGAAGTACTATTTCGTACTGAGAAAAATTGTTTTCATTCTTAATATAAATTAGCATTCAAACCTATATGGCTTTATTCCTACTTGTATAAACTTCTTTTACTACAAGATTTTGTAGTTGCACTTCAGTTTTAGTTGAATTCAAACATTGTTAACCGTATTGAATTCAACAACGGTGTTATCTCCAGCTATTTGTCGCGCTTTCTTCCTATAAGCCGTTACCCAAGACATTGAGACAACGAATTTCTTTAAATGGCGTTGAAACTTAGGTTCCACTGGCAGATCGGGCTTCTCCGTGGGGCTGTGCACGACTGCCGTAAGTAGGAACTTAACCTCTGTTGTAATTCACATATCTTTTTTTAGATTCGATTGATTACGAAGCTTTGTTGTATGAGAATCTGTTTGGTAATGACGATTTTTTTTTTTTATAACATTTGATAAATTTTATTATATAGACGACAGAAAAAAAACAAAACAGCTATTATGATTTAATTTTAATATTTAAAATTGTCCTCTTGTTCTGAAACTGAAATACAGCATCGATTGTTTTATTTTTTAAGTAATTTAAATCCCCTCATACAATTATAAATACAGGATGTTCCATAGAAAGAAATATTTATAGAAGTGATAGCAGATATCAAGAGCTAGAAAATAGTTCAAATAAAAATGGAACAATTTACAACAGAAAAGTAGAAAATCCAAGTTTTTTGTTGTTTTTTTTTTAAATAAGTCATGCTTTTTGTTAAATAGGAAGTGATGACTAAAGAAATATTCAATTTAAGTAATTAAAAATTGCTTAACTGTAAATTAGACAAAATTAACTTCAAATGAAAACAGAGTTTGTCATGGTTAATACCATTTAAAGGGGAATTTTGAGCGACTAAAATATTTATTAATAAACCATAAATTATTCGCAATTTTTTTTTATCATTCTACAATACAATAGGTACGCCACATAAAAAAAAAAAAAAATTCATCGTTTAATAAGCTTTAAGTTCATATTATTTAAGTTGATATTTATTAGGTGAAAACATGAGATTCAACTGAAATTGTATTTAAAAAAAAATTGGATATATTTTATTCTGTCATGTAAAAGTACCCAAGTTTTCAGCAAAATGCCTATAATCAACTGTTGCAAAACTTGAATTTTTTGTTTTCCATCATTTAGGGTGTATTATAATAATCATAACGGTCTAAAGACACTTTTTATTAATATAAAAATAAATGTTAAAAGTAATTCAAATATTTTTTATGTAGTGATTATGAAATTGTTTTTTTCACTCAAATCTCTGTCATAGAAATGGATCCGTAATTAAAAGTGACAAACTGAATGCTCCTGATTCTAATATTTACGTTTAATAAAGAACGTAAAAGAAACCTGCATATTGCTTCAATTATTTTCATGAAAACGTGAATATTGGCATCAATGACATTTTTTATATGAACTTTTTTGTAGCTCTTGAGGTCTGCAATAACTCCTATAATTATTTCGTTATATTTACGGGACACCACGTTATATATATATATATATATATATAGGTATAAGGCTAGTATTCCTGTAGGAAAATGCAGAAAGCGTGCAATACAATGTTATTTCTGCGTAATATATCATTTAAAGTGACTAACGGTAAATAGTTCTTTCGTAACCGTAAACACAGATGAGGAATGAGAACTGCATAGCAGGTTAAGGTACTTTGGAACAGTTCCAACTTCTAGTGGATGGCATAGATTATAATATACAATTTTAAAGTTGTTACTGTACCTCTGTACATTCCTTAAACTATCCGATTAGACTATATTATACAACTTGACTCCGTTATGCATGGCATTATATAAACCGAAATTAATTGTTTAAATATAGAATATGTTTAATAAGAATAGAATATGGTTAAATAGATATTGTGAGATTAAATTTCTACGTACCGTGGAAGTTTTTAGATTTCGGTATTAGTGAAGTATCTACTTTCACGAAATAATCAAAATAAAATAAAATATTTATTCAATTTTGGTAGAATAAAATTTAAAAATATTTTTATTGATGACACGACCGGTTCTTATAAAATAATCTACTTGACAAGTAGTAGTAGTGTAGTGGGAAACAATCCACTACTTATTTAAAATATTTATAAACCTTAATTTTCTTAACAATGCACCAAGTTCTTTAAGCAAATATGCAAGTACATTCTTTTAGATGGGTAGAGTTATTTATTTAGTCGTGTTTATTTTTTAAATTAAATATCTTTATAACCAAAAAAAAAAAACAATAAATGATTAAACATTAACACAGTGTATAAACACTAAACTTTCTGCCTCTCTTTTTCTTTTATCACTATGAAGAGTTTTTCCGATAAGTTTCAAATATTCTAATTTTGAAACATTTATTACTACCGTCTAACGTTATGAATATTTATAGAAAATAATAACGCAGGTATGTAAATTAGACACTAAAATTTGTGAATCTGAGTAAGTGCCTGTAAAACTGTATTTTCCAATGAGATAGATAAAGGTAAAGGTAAATATTTTCTTCAAGGTAAATTTAGTTTTTCGATTAATCGTTAATTCATCGCTTTGACTTACTAGCAACTCAAAAGGTATAGAAAGACCGTCGAATTCCCCCTCATATTATTAATATTTACTTTTCAATGAATGAAGATACAGAAGGCAAAGAACGTGATGAATATATAGATGAAATCCTTGCTATGTTTACATTCCATTTCTGTGAATATTGTACGCACATAAAAAACAAACATCAAAATCTTACAATAACCTTCTCCGCTTGTTTATGACGTTAGCACCACTTAACAGAACCATAGGCTGCGTTTAAATCGAGGGTAATAGCGGCCATATTTAACACACATTTCATAAATAATTTTCTCGACTTTACACATTTAAGAGGTTTATCATACTTATCACTAGTTGCATACCATTTTAAGGTAATAATTTTTTACGTCTCTTCGTTCATGAGTTCGGCTGTTTACATAGAAATAGACTCACAGAGAAGCTATTTAGCGAGACTCAGTAGACCTTAAAAAATTATTTACGTTGAAAACACGGAATCAGAAACTTTTTTGCCAAGTCTATATTACTTACTCAATACTAAGTTAAGTTAATTTACCACATATTTTATAGATAGTTAACTACAGTAAAATTAACTCACTTCATTATTTTACTCATGAACGTTTTGGGTTTTCTGCAGAATACGCGTGCCACTGATTAAACATTACAATTTTAAAATTATGACAAAAAACAACTTACATTTAGAATATTAACATCGACTCCTTAGTTTCCCGATATATACCGCCGAAGTCCCATTGTTAGAAGTAAGTTTTCCCTACATTATATTTCCGTCTAGAAAAGAGACACGCATCTATGTCTACTTTAAGTCCATCACAACCAATGAAGCATGAATTTTTAAGAAGCGAATTCGTAGAAACATCGCATAGTAAATTCTTTCAGTCTGATATATTTAGTATGATCTCCTAATCCAAATTCTTCCTTATAAACATTTACTGTAGTACTCGTATATTCCCTTAACTAGGAATGATTCAAATATATCATATTTTGAATGTATTGTACCCTAAATCTCTACTTATTAAATCATTAAAATGCTACTTAAATCGCTGTTGCCCAGAATCTGCATCAGCCCCAACTTTTTATATTAAAATTAGATATTACTTATATTAGTTTATATAATTAAATTCCATATAAAGGTATTGATATAAATTTTTTAGAAGTCTATTCTGCATTATTATATCAATCTACCACACGGACTGAATCATATCCTGTCCAGACCCGCAAGGCCTTCGCAAGCGCTATGGTTTAGAATGAGAGGATATTAATCCGGTAGTTTTTATACTTTTTGCAATTTTGGAGACTATGCAATATGTCCTCGATAATGTTGCATTTACAACATTTATTAACTTTAATCAGACTTATTCCGCAATTTGTACAACTATGGTTGATTATCGATCTTGTTAGTATCGATCCTTGTTCTTGCTGGAGAACCACGGGCGAAGAGAGTCGTTATGTTGAACAGTGTAATGATCTTTGCCTTTCGAACTCGACTCCCAGACATATCCATCTTGCCATTCACCAATATAGTATTTTTCTAACAACTTCCTGTAAAGATGGTTTTGCATTTCATGCTCTCCCTGTACCCCGTTTGGCTATCCTGTCAGCTCGTTTTTCAAGC